TCACCACCACTTTGCCCGAAGAAGTCCTCGACATTGTTGTCGGACTTAATACCGCATTTGAAGAATGGACTGCATTGGTGCATGCCTTTGCTCGAGTCTCTTCTGATCGAACTCTTGCCCTCAAACAGCAGCTCATAACTATGGCAAGAGGGACTGATACCTTGGCAACTTATTTGCATCGTTTTAAGTCCGTTTCTGATGACTTAGCTGCCATCGGAAAGTCGTTGCCGACCACAAAATATTGTGGTGGCTCCTTAATGGTCTTGGAAAGGACTATGAGATAGTCAACACCATGTCCTCCCATTCTGCCGTATTCCGAAGTTGTAACATTGTTGGAGAGTTATGCTGATTGCCTTCACTTCGATGCTCCTCCAGCCCCACAAATGGCATTCTATATTCAACGGTTTTCTTCTCAGTCTAACAAAAACAAGAAGAACCATGGTGCACATTCAACCAAAGGGAATCAAACAGCTTTCACATCCAAAGGATGCAAGTTTACCCAATGTTGCAATACTCAAAAGGGAAATGCTATATGGATTTTAGAGGACCTTATTTAAGAACTTAATGATGTACAACAATTGGATTGGTTATGAGTTTTATCTAACATTAAAACTCACAACTAATCTGATAATTGCATTAAAGTTATATCATTAACTACCTTGAGAGTACTCTTGTTGTCGCTCTCTCCTACCTACAACTTTATCAATAAAGTTCTCCGACCGCTATCGCCATCTTGAAAGTGGAGTAGGCCACTCTAACCGAACCATTATACATTTATATGTTGTTTGTGTTGATCTCTCCTTTATATTTAATGCATTTACTACTTATATTCATTATTCGACAGGTAATACATAAATCTGCTATAGACAAAAAAGGCGGCGTCAAGGGTGCTAGGCGCGACGTCGAGCCCTGCCTGGGCGGCTCTTGGATTGAGATCGACGCCAGAGATGGCTCGGAGATTGATGTTGAGGGTGCAGGTGAAGCTGGAGAGAGTTTGGACAGCGCAACGGCGGCGAGCGATGCCTGCGGTTGCCTGGGTAGCATCAGGGGCACAACGTACGAAGTCGGTCTGGCTGGAGCTAAATCTAATGGCAGTATATTGGACATTGTTGGAGTTGGAGAGACTACCGTGAAGAACTAGGAATCCTTATCTATCCAGACACTCACTCATGCCCTCAACCCCCTTTTGTTGCAATCGGGGCATGGGGGGCAAATGATAAGCCCAGATTTAGTTGTGTCAGCCCCAATTAATTAAGCTCAAATCAGTTAAAAAGCAAGTCAAGCCCAATTCATGAATTCGGCCCAGACCAAGATTCAAGGGATCCAAGAATATTAGTGCACGTGAGAAGTAATTACTAGAATAGTTACCCTCTAAGATCAAAACTATCTCTAATTGTATATATTCTAGTTGTAGTTATCCTCTCTTATAAGCTAGTAACCTACCTATCACGTCATTGCCTCAACTAAGGCTTTGTGCCTATAAATTGTAAGTCCTCACTATGAGAGGGGCATCTCTTTACACACCTTACACAGTTATCTCTCTCATAGCTATCTTAAGTATTGATCTTGCTCTCGCTCTCTTCTACCTACAATTTTATCAATAAAGTTTTTCGATCACCGTCGCCGTCTTAAAAATAAAGTAGGTCACCTTAACAGAACCACGCTATATCTGTGTGTTGTTTGTGTTAATATAATATTTGTCTCCTTCATTAATTGTTTTATTGATTGTTTCTTTAATTATTCTAAATCATACACTCGACTGTTAGTTGTGCATAAATTTATTTTATGCATCATCATAGTCCTTACCCATTATCTGTGACCGGTGCCTTGGGCACTCCCATTAGTATTCTTCTTATAATGACCTTAATGCGGGACCAAAAAAGAATAATTACAAATTTCGTAATTCCATAGAAGAACGAATGACTATAAATTAAAATCTCTATATTTTAGAATGGGTATTCCAAAACTTTTGATTTTTCCTTCGAAGCTTATTTGAAATTTAGTGCACTCCTAGCAAATTGTAATAATTTTTTTTTATTCTATTCATAATTGGTTGAATTGGACAATTAGTATGACAATAGACCTTTGGATTGTTGTTGCAACCATGTACCAGCATACTATTATGTCCCGCTCATTTTGTAGATGTCTTTTCTTTCGAAAAGTCGCTCATTTGTAGATGTTGAACGTTTGATATTATTGTCGAGGGTTGGGCTATCCCACATCGGAAATAGCCTTTGGGTTGTGTGTGTGTACAAGGCCCTCTGCCGCTTATACTTTTAAGTGTAAGTTTTAGAGTGGTTATGTCTATAAAAAAAAAATAGAAACTTGTGTTCGTACGTGCGTCTGCCCACGCGTCTATGTGGGCCCAGTCTTCAAAAACAAATCGATGCTAGTTGTCCACCAGAGGGGCTGGGGCTATCCTACATCAGATAGCCTTGGGATTGCGTGTGTGTATTAGGTCATCTGCTGCTTACACTTTTAAGTGTAACTTTTCGAGTGATTCTATCTATAAAAAAAAAATGTTTGATATCAATGTCTTTAATGAATTGTTGTCCTCCTAGTGATTTTCAACTACATCGAATGACTTTTATTTTAATTATCAATTCCTTTGGGTTCGTTTGGTTAACAAGAAAAAGGTGATGGAAAGTGAATGATGTAGAAAGTGTTATGAAAGAAAAAAAAATAAAAGAAAATATATTTTCATGCATGTATTTGGTTAGCATGAAAAATTTCTAAGAAAAATTTAAAACAATCTCATTCCATTATTTTTTTTTAAAAAGAAAGTTATAAGAAAAATTTTCTAATTGTCTAAATTATCCTTAAGTATTTTAACTCTCTCTAAAAAAGAAAAACATATTTTTTATTATTCAAATTTTTAAAAAATTGACTCCTAACCTAATTCAGGAACAAAGAACGACTCGAACCTTAATCTCTACACCAAATTATATGATTAGCCTAATTTGTACATATTTTTTTTAAATTAATAACTAATTAAATATTTTAAGAAAAATATGGGTAAAATGGGAAGTTAAGTTATTGAATACAACTTTATTATTTTTTCTTGTGTTTTTTGTAAGAAAAAAAAGTTAGTTAGATGTGAGAAAATCTAAACATGAGAGAAAATTATTTTTTCTATCATTTTCTATTTCATGTTAAACAAACGCATGTAAAATTTTAAAATTTTCTTTTTCTTGTTTTTTTAGCATTTTCTTGCTAAACAAACGGACCCTTTGAGATTTGCTATAATGGCGTTAGGCATCCTGACCATTTGATCTTATATATGCATTTTTTAATTATAGATCAAAATCTAGTTAGACAAAAAAAATAAATAAATATATAATACCAAAAAACTACTTTTTTTTTTCAGTAATAATATCAAACCCATTTATTTATATTTGTATCAGAGTTTCAAACTGTGTTTCAAAAAAAAAAAAAAGAGTTACAAACTGGGCTATTGACATGCCAGCAGATGGTTTGTCAGCTTGACTGCACATGGAGGGGGCAACTACAAGAAGTTTGATCATAGACCATAGACACTTTTTAATTTTGCCTTTATCAATTTAGTTAAATAGTTTCTTATTTTATTTTTGTCAAGGTGTTAATCAAGTTGTACATCATCCTCAATACGACAGAATTTGACAAAAATTTAACGTGATACGACTAGAATGACATGCACTAACATATTCATCATTTTGGTTTGGAATTTATTTTATGATTTTTTTTATATATCAATAGATCATTATTATAATAAAATATTAATTATAACTTTAAATAAAGAAAACAAAAGATGGCATAATAGAACATCAAACAGGGACCTACAAGAAATCATGCCTGTACTGCATCTCCTAAATTTCTATGGGGCTTTTTTATACAAGTTTGTTGCTATGAGTCCATCTCCTCTAGTCGAATTAATAAAAAATAGTAGTCTCAGTAGAAATTTATTGGTCTGACTATTCAATCGACTATCTACTGCTCCCTCTTAGTCGTAGGTGCCTATGCTTTTATTCAAAAGTCTTAGCCAGTGATGAATCCCCAAGATCTATGTGACTTTTTCTATCGTTGGTGATGAATTTTTAGTAGCTGTCTCCTACGCAAAGACTATGCAAATTATTGTGGAAAAGACTTGAGTTGATATTTTGTAGGGTTGCTTACAGCCTTGGTGAGTGGCTGTAGTGTTTTCATTCAGTACCAGCATTAAAAAAATTGCCAGGAAAAAAACAGAGCTTTGATCAGATTGAAAGAAACAAGTGAAAGGCAGGTGGAGTTGAAGGACAGACAAGTGAGTAGTGTGGGTTAATAATCACCACAGTAACAAGTCTCCATCTTACTGCCTGGACCAAATGCATGGCTTGGGTTGCTGCAAGTGGTAATTCCATGTCCTTTGTGAATGGATACTCTCATACCACATTAAATACCATACCAAATATAGACGGCACATTATTGCATGTCAATCTTTTTACTGTTTAGAGCACCATTATGTAAATATCATTGTACAATAAATCATATATATATATATATATATATATATAATAGGACCTTAGATGGCTCTTCAATTCTTAATTTGACACGTGAAATAATGAAGTCGTTGAGATGTTCAAAGGGTGCCGAGGAAATAAGCTGAGGTATGGTGACACAGAACAGCCGAGTACGACAGCTAGTATCGTCTAAAGGGTGCCGAAGAGGTAAGCCGAGGTATGGTGACATGGAGCGGCCGAGTACGACAGCTGACATCGTATTTAATGCGACGTGACCCCACATTTATGGTGGAATGAGTGATAGTGACAAGATAAATAAATACGCGTTTGTTAGCACCTGCCCTTTGGGAGTTTAAGCCTACTGTCATGATGGCTACGCATTAATGGCTGATACGCCGAGACGACGTGATCGGCTCTCCCGAGGAACTGTTCCCCTCGAGTATTCAATGCTCAGTTGATGTCAGATGTCGATCTGAGGGATTTGGGTACTCGGGGAATGGCATTAATGCTCGGCACATGGCCGAGCATTTACCCCATTTTTCTAGTATTCAATAGGAGGAGACGTGAATAGAAAACACTTATTGCACGAGGAATGGTGTGTCAGATGTGAGATGTCCAAATGAGACTGGAGATTTTTGACAATCATTGCTAATTCAGGTATAAATACTCATCAGAAAAATATATAAAAGTACGCAAACTTGAAATAGAAAAATAATCTATTAAGCAAAACCCTTTGATCTTATACTGACTTAAGCTTCGGAGGGGATTAGCCGGGCACACGTCTGGCCCCCTTTTTTCTGACCCTATTGTTTCAGGTTCGCCAGCTGGGAGATCGCTGCCTCATACGATTGCAGGAATTATCCTGTGCAATTTGGCGCCGTTTGTGGGAACGAAGATATTTTTCTCGGTAGCGATCATCTAATGGTGAACACTCGATCTCAGGGTGAGGGAGCAGGTGTGCGAGCCAGGAACGCAGAGCCCATCCGGCTTCCAATGGTTCTAAAGCCGGGTTCATTGGGCCAATCAGATGGGGTGGGGCATTCTTTGCAAAGAACGTTCACTATGGATCAGGGTCTTAGGGGGCGTGACCTCATGGCCCGTGACATCGTGGAGATGGTGGAAAAATGGATAGGCAAACGCATTAAGTAGCTCGAAAGGGAAAATGCCAAAGTCCAGCAACGTCTTGACGATTTCGAGTAGTCAGCGAGCGCGGGTGAGCATAGTCACGGGGTCAGGGACTAGGTGCCTAGCCAGAACCTATCCAGACCCCCCTGGCATTGGCCCTCCAGGAAAGATTGGATTAGGCACTCACCTGAGGGACGTAATCGCCAAGGAGGGTTCTCGGCCTCCAAGGGAAAGTCAAAATTGGGCCACAAGGCAAGCTTGTCCAGGTGGGATCTGCGCTGAGGGATACCCGAGGGCGTCGGAGTCGTCGAATCTCAAGCGGAGTCCATACCCCGAAGGCCTCAAGGAGAGAGATCAGCCAAGGATCCCAAGGTCCCCTTCATCTCTTAGCACAACCATGAGCCTACGGTCTACTCCGACAAGGTTATCTCACCATTCGTCCGGCCTATCAAGGAGGCCGAGATGCCGAAGAAGTTTACCGTCCCACAGTTCAAAGTCTATGATGGGAAAACCGATCCCAAGAGCCACCTTCGGCAATACA